TCTGGTGTATTACAAAGGTACAAAACAGATTTCAGTACTTCAAAAGGTTGGTATAGTAACATTATATCAGTTAATGAAATTACGGTATTTAACTGTAAATTTAAGTTAAAACTTAAAACGTTGCTACTGTATTTTTACGGTAAAATTCTGGCAACCACAGCTGCCAGTTTTTTACCGTAAATGTTACGGACTATTTTTTACAGTGTAGATAGATAGATAGATAGATATATAGATAGATAGATAGATGAAAGTGTTTTCTTGTTAAGCATACTGAATGAATTAATGAATAAATGAATGAATGAATATAATTGATAATGCAGATGCCGCTGTTCTGGAATCAGTTTTCCCCGCCGCTATCAGCTCTCGAGGCTCAACCTGCGTACAAAGAACAACTGCGCGGAGATCAGCTGTAGGAGGGACATTCATCCAATCATCATCAATGTCGAAGCAGTCGAGCCCACCGGAAGCGGAAGTTGCTGCAGCCGTGCTGCTCGCGCCGCTGCTGACGCGCTTAAACTTGTTGCATAACAACAACAACAGCAGCGTCTCACAATGCTCGAATGTCAAATTAGTGTTTTTTTGAGAAGACAAATCAGCATTTAAACGCTTTCTGCCGGGCACAGGTCAGTGTAAACAGCGGGTTTCATACATTTAAAGACGTTTGGCGGGTTAACTACGTGATTAATAGAGAAGCTGGTGATTAGCGCTTTAGCATCCATTCATTTACATCGGTATAGCAAACAGTGTTTCATACAGCTGCAGTTTTGCTCAGTTTATGATGCATTTTAGATATAATTGACTTTTATCTCTGAAATTTAGATGAAGAATGTGTTTAGCTTTTTGAGTGCTTTTGAATTGTCCAATACAGTCCATTTAATAGTGCCTATCAACACATTTCGTTCTTTAGAATATAATTCTGCTTTAAATAATTAATCTAAAAGGTGGAAAAGGCACGTATCATTTTATTTCGTACATAATACCAGAGTATTTTATAAAAGCAATTTATTATGAGCAAATAATTTCTGTGTTTTTCTTTCCTGTTTTTCTAGATATGACAGAAATGGCAGTGGACTGATCTGAGACCGTTTCACAGGTCACTGAAGCACAATATTCTTCCCAAGAGACGGTAAAAGCAGGAAGGATTGGATATTCAAGGTTTTTTAACCTTGATTTGTCCCGCTGATATTGCATTAATTTAATGGATATTTGTCCATTGTTCCAGGCATAAATGATAAGTTTTCCCTCTATGCCCATGAAGGCCGTGTTTCAGCATAGGCTTCAGAAATTGAGGCATTTTAGAGGAGTCCATCAGTCTGTGTTTAGGTATTTTCGTCACATTTAAATAGTCCGGTCTCCACGTTTTTGTCAAGATGGAGTCCTACCTCTTCCCCTTCGACAGCCTGATCTGTATGCTCTTGGGCATCTCCTTCACGGTGTGGTTCACCCTTCTTCTGGTGTTCATCATCGTACCTGCAATCTTCGGTGTGTCCTTTGGGATCCGCAGGCTGTATATGAAGTCCCTCATTAAGCTATTTGAGGTGAGTGAGTTGATGTTGAAAATGCATGTCATTTTACAGTAATTAAATTTCTCAACAAGAACATCTGAGGAGCTGTGGAGAGTTACAGCAGGTTTGATGGTCTGTCTGTGGTGCAGTGGTCTTGTAATATAAGTTGGGCAAATCAGCATATCAGAATGATTTCTGCGGGATCATGTGATACTGAAGACTGGAGTAATTATGCTGAAAATTCAGCATTGTCATCATAGGAATAAATTGCTTATATAAATTTAAAAATAATTTTAAATTGTAAAAATTTTCACAATATTACTGCAAGAAATGCAGTGCTTATATAAGCACAGGACACTTTCATAAACATTTAAAAAATGTGACCGATCCCTGAACACGAGCTGAGAAACAGATACAGAGATGCTTTTTTAGATGATTTTATGTTCATTTAGGAATTCATTTAAACAATTCTAAATTTTATTGGAATATTGCACATTTTGGCAATGCTGTTTTTTGCCAGAGCTGTTTCAGAAATTGTCATATTGCATGTTTCCACCCAGAAATGGCGAAACAGTGGCCTATTCTTGATACTCGAGGATTCTCTTTTTGGAACAGACAGCAAGTATCACAGATTTCACATACTTTGTGTAGCGTGACACAAATCACTAGGTCTAATGCATGACTTAATGCTAAAGATTTGCATCCTTACTTTGTGATTGAGATGCATCAAGAATAATTTTGTAATCGCATTGTTTTTCTAAATTAAAATTAAAATCCTGAGGTGCCTAAATGTTCCTAATTGTTGCAATCATTTGTTTACTTAATGCATGTCGGTAAGAGCTCTGTGTGTGACCTAAAATAGATTCTGATGATTTCCTATGGTGCCACTCTCCTCTCATCCATCTGGACTGATGTAGTCACTGTCCGACCCTCTCCAGACTCCCTAAGAAACTCCAGATGGCTGTTTTCCAGTGACTAACTTCCCTGTACTCTGCTGTCCTGTGACCCTGAACAGGGGAGCGAGATTTAGTCTGACAAGCAGCTTGACTGTTCACTCTTTCCCTATCCCGACTTTCGCTTCTGCTTCTCCCTGAGTCAGAGCATCATCAGCACCCACGAGAGTCACTGTTTACTTTGATAGAGCGCATGGACATCTTTCCACACTCGGTGCTCAGCTGCTGTCCTTGCTTGGCTCATCCACTTTAATGATCCCTAAGGGAAAATTCAGATGCAGCAACAGCAACATCAAATGTTATGTACACGTGTACATACATGTGCAGGTATAGATAAACAAAGCAAAATAAGGAAAATATTTACAGGGTTCCTGTGAGTCTTTAAATTAAAGTCTTAAAACATCTTAAATTCATTTTGAGCAAATTTAAAGTCATACTTTTACGTTTACAAGCGTAAACCTCTTCTTTTTGGTGATTCTGTTCTTTTCAGTGGTCACTAACAATCTTTAAAACTTATTTGAAACTCTCATTAAAAAGTTATGCTCAGTATTTAATCAAAATGCAGTGTCTTGTAGTACTTGATTTAAAAGAATCAGTTCAGAAAACATTCAAAAATATTTAGGAAGAAATGCATAAAATTTTCTGGATATTATTGGGATTTTGGTTACACAGTAAACTATATCTGGCATTTAATACAATGTTAACATTGACATTTTGTTTTGACCAAATCATAGAAAAGAACTGGTTCAAAAGTCTGCTGAACTGTCAGTGGTAGTGGTTTTCAGGCGCTCTGGCTGAACTCCAGGACCCAGCAAGGACACACGGATCAGCCGTTGTCTTCTCCTCCCCAGTGGTGTTTTGGGCGGCTGGCTGTGATTCTGTGGAATTGGCTCCCCAAAGGCTGTTTACCGCTTGAATGTTGTTTGTTTCCCCATCCTCATGACAGCTGTTTGAGGTCTCGTGGGGTCTCAGTCCAGCCTGCCTTTGGGGATACAAAATAATTGTAACATGGTGTAACAAAAGGACAATTAAGTGTTTCAATTATTAAGATATTATGACTCATGTAATGTAATTCCCTAATGAAATGCATCATCCATCACCATGATGCAATGGTTCAGTAAAAAACTTTGGACCTTTGAATTGGTCAAGTATCACAGTTTGAAATATATTATTGCTGCTTTTAACGCGAAACTACTGTGGACACACCACTGTGCTGAACTATTACAGTTTGTGATTTGCTTAATTTGTGTGTCTAATTCTCATTCTGTTTTCAGTGGGCGACCTTAAGAATGGAGCGAGGAGCTAAGGAGAAGAATCAGCACCTCTACAAACCCTACAGCAATGGTGAAACACTAAAAAGATCATTGCCACCGACATCATATCTTCAACATCATCATAACCCTGCTTTTTTTCCCCCTCAGGGATTATTGCTAAAGAGCCAGTGTCCCTCGAACAGGAGATCCATGAAATGAGGCGTGGCGGTGCAGAGCCTGAATTTGACATGTCTGACATCTTCTATTTCTGCCGGCGAGGTGTGGAGAGCATCGTCGATGACGAAGTGACCAAGCGCTTCACGGCGGAGGAGCTGGAGTCCTGGAACCTGCTGACTCGAAGCAACTACAACTTCCACCACATCAGCACCAGGCTCACGGCACTCTGGGGAGTGGGAGTGCTCATCCGATACGGCTTTCTCCTGCCACTCAGGTGAGAGGAAGGTCTATGGGTGCTGCATGAATGCTTTGTGTGGATGGATATTGTTAGTGATAGTAGTGGTTTTTAAATTGGTAACCACTTTAAAGGAGTTGAACTGGCTCTCATATTCCTGTTCATTCTTAAAGACATGCTAGCAGAAAGATCAGCTTTAAGACTGGATTACATTACGCAACTTTTGCACACAATTTTCCCCTGATTTGCAGTCTGGACGAGTCGATGTTAGTTGCTGAAGGTTAGAGCCATATATATACCACGCAACTTTCTGTGAAATAAACTTTTAATTTGTTTTCTTTTAAGCTTACGACTTTGATTTCATCCGGATAGAGGATATCAAACATTTTAGTGTGTGATTCCCACATTAGGTCTGTAAGTGGGTGATTCTCAGTCGTTTAGTCTATGATGCCCAGTAGGGCTGTTAAAATGGCTGAAAAACTAAATTTGAATTTTGTACTTAAATATTATCAAAATTCAAATTATATTCGAATTTAAAATGCATAATTTCAGTTAGGGATGCGCGCGACGACTAATTTGACTGTCGTTTAAACGGAAATTTTGTATCCGACTAGTCTAAAAGCAAGAAACCCCCAAAAGATGGTAAGAAGAAAACTTTGTGCATGTATATAATAGCTTACATTTGAAATACTTAATATATGAATCACACTGTCAAATCCCAATGAATTTGAATCTCAATGAATTCCGCTAAAAATAGGTCACAATTATGCCGTAGCCTACACTTGCCTTGTGTTATCATCATTTAATTTTAGGCTTTCGTTAAAAAGAGAAAAAAAAAGAGCACACACTCAACGTCAACCAATGCTTATTTATTAAAATCAGCTGGGGAAATGCAGAACAATGGAAAATCAATCAATAGCCTGACAGAATTCTTCATCTTCATATAACGTTAGCCAACATATTAAAACACAAGTCAAAAACAATAGGAAATTTGATCAAGGAATAGCATTAAAACGGCTTTTAAAAACATACTTCATCATGTAGGCTATATCATCTAAAAACAAAACGAACAAAAAGAAAGACAGGACCTGAGGCGATTAACAATTCCTGCACTTGAAAAAATGAGCTCTGCAGGAACTGAAGTCGCAGGCACACAGAGATAAAAAGCAACAGAATTTCGGAAAGCGCCTGGACATCACGCACCACCACCGAAGTGGGTCTTCGTTAGAGGAATAGACGGCGCGGACGGTATCGCAGCGGCTGCGGGCTGTAGTGAATGACGTGATTAACATTAGCTGGCTTTGGCTAGTCTCTAAGCTAACGCTTACATGCCTGTATTGAATATGATTAAGCATCGCTCCAGTAGAGTTATTGTAAGCCAATTTGACATTACACAGTTTACACAAAACTATTCAGTTTCCTTCTAATTCAAAATAATCCCACACCTTATTATTTAATTACCATTATAACTAGCTGTCTCACAAATTTTTGCTCACTCAGTGTTTTTTTAATTTTACAGTGGGGTAATTTTGGTGCAGTAGCACGAGATAGCTTGATTTCAAACTTTGAATTGAATAAAAATGACAAGTAAGCAGTCAATAATAAACTAAGAACAAATAAAGAAATTAATAATGATAGCACAAATAAAAAATAACGACAGGCCTTCGAATTAAATAAATTGCTTTTTAGTTTTTCAGGTAGCCTAGGTCTAACAGTAGGGTTAAGATATTTAACATTTTTATTTTTATTTTTACCAATTATCCAAATAATGTTTATTGCTGTTCCGATTCGCATGAACGGTATACGAGTGGAGCGACTGAGCGGAGCACACACACGCATAGAGCGGGATAATACGCAGAGCGTCACACCACATGAAAGTGAAACCTGAGTGGTGAGCTAATTTTCGGCAGCCGACATTTCGGTGCATCTCTAATTATTGGCGACATCAGAAATGGATATTATATAATAGATGCTTTTTTGAACATTTTAGCAATTTACAAATATTAAAAAAGGATTTTTTACACGGCACCCCTGCTCTCACCCCGGTTGGGAAACACTGGACTAGTCGACTAGACCCGCACATCCAGTTAGGGTGAAAAAATATAATGTTTATAAACCAATTATAATTAATTAAGTTGCTTAAACAACTATAAACAAAACAGAATCATGTATGTATGCATGGTTTAATGCAAAAGGACAAAAGCCAATCACACAGAGTACATTTCTCATTTAAAAACATGAGATGCAGTGGGATGGGGAAAAAACCCCACCTTAAAGTCTCTATATATTTCTAACTTTTTTTTTCAAAGTTAAACTTGCATTAATTTTGCATGGCTTTCTAAACATGCGGCTCCTTTGTGCGAGATGCGAGTGCAACGGTGATAGATGTCCCTCTAGAAAATGCGCAAAATATGCGTTCTGTGTCAACGGCTTGGTTTCAGTTTAGATGTAAACAAGATCTTCTCCGTATTGATGTTCTCTTTTTCCGCAATATTTTTAATGAACAACACAGCAGCGCCGCATCTATTGGCTTCAACTGGATAGGCTAACAAAAACATTATAATGCAACGACACATACATTGTCATCGCATCCCTTGCGCCACTGATAAGGCTGCCTCCTTAACGCACACCTAAATTTCGAATGCAACATTTTTGCATTCGAATGTGGATTTTTCTTTTAAATTCGACGAATATTCGAAATTCACATTTTTTTTGACAGCCTGTTTACGAATTCAGCAAATGTATAACACCTAGTGTTCTGGATTAAAAATAATGCAGTGTATTTCATTGAGAAATAGCTTCTAGAGAGAAAATAGAAAAAAAGTTCTATGTGGCCCGATTCCAAACCTTAAAAACTGATCAGTCGATGAACGAACGGTCAGCGTTTTAAACTTTCAGCAATTTTAAACCATCAGCAGCTTTAAGGCTTTCAGGTGCCAAATGCTAAGTGCTCAAGGTTAAATGGACACCTTATATTTTTATTCAGAAGAACTATGTTGAAGAAATATTCAAGTCACCTGAGGCTGTTCGCAGTCATCCCTAGCCCAGGATGTGTACTCTAATGCAGACATAATGTTTGTGCTGTGATTATGCTAAGCAGTGTCATTATTAGATTTTGCTTTTAAAATTTGCTGTGTTGCTCTTAACAGGGTCACGCTTGCTTTCACCGGTGTCGGTCTTCTCGTAGTTCTGACGTCAGTCGTTGGCCTGTTTCCAAATGGAAGGTATGTCTTGGTCGACTTCTGAAGGTTTAATACCTGAAGCTGTTATGTTGTGATTTAAATGCTTGGTAATTGATTGACTTTGTCTATCTATGACTGTCGGTCCTGTGATGCACAAGTTTGGCTCAGTTGTGCTTTAAGAGAAAACAGTGTAAACATTGATGTAAACTACCATTCAAACGCTTGCAGTCAGTAAGATTAAAATAGGATACCTTTCTTTAGCAATGATAAATTAAATTGATCAGAAAGTGACAGGAAAGACTTTAATAGTGATTTCTATTTCAAATAAATGCTGCACTCGTGAACATTCTGTTCATCAAAGAATTCTGAAAGAAAAACTTATCCCCAAAAATATTACAACGCAAGGTGTTTTCAACATTGATAATAAGAAGCAATATTGATCATAAGAAAAAAAATTGAGCAGCAAATCAGCATATTATAATGATTTTAGATTGAGTAATGATGATTATGTGATTATATAATATATATTATTGAGTAATTATGCTGAAAATTCAGCTTTACATCACAGAAATAAATGTAAATGTGTATATTAACACTGATTTCTCTAATGGGCAGAATGAAGAATTATCTCAGTGACAAGGTTCATCTGATGTGTTACCGGATCTGTGTAAGATCCCTCACGGCCATCATCACCTACCATGACAGGTACTGACACATAAATACTACCATATGCCAATATTAAACGGTCCTCTTTTGGAAGACCAAACAAAATAGTTTCGCTTTCACAACGAGAAACAGCATCACACAGCGGCCTTGAGTGAGCGGAGGCCTGCGGCTTGAGTGAGCGGCTTGCGGCAACCACATGTGACGACCCTGGGCTGGACTCCGCT